ACTCATGGAGTAATTATCTTGAAGACAGGAGAAGACAGGGAGTTTTTTTTCCCAGAACAAATTAAAAAAGATATTAATATCTTGTAAGACCACGTCCCAGATGATTCACTGATAATCTGTTACAAGCATTTACAGAATGGAGTTTGTGTAACACCACCATAGCTAACAAACTACATCATGACAGAGGAAAAGAAAACAACAGAAAATATTTATTGACATAGTATGTGCATTGTATAATATCTTAATATAGCAAAGGTTTGCATTTATCTTTTCAAATGAGTTGTCATTTTGTGCAGTTAAAAATATTATAAAAACACATTTTTTGAAGTTTGCTGTCAGTCTTTAAAAAGTTAAGAACATTAAAGAATCATCAAAGCTACCTCTGGAGGTTTTTAACCTAAACGCTGCCTCACACTTGGAGCAAAAGTCTGGTGCAACAAGAACTCAAATATACTTCCAAATCCTTTGAGTTTAGTGTGCAATTTTAAGCTTTCAATTTAACAATATTCTTTTCCCCATTCATTCTTTAATCCAGGAATTTGTAGATGGAAGCATCATCTGCAATATTCTGTCCTTTAAAATTAGAAGCAGTTGTTTACATTTCTACAAAGATACCAAACACAAACAGAAGGTATTTGAAAAAATTTATTGGCTAGAATTTATAGGCACATGCAAAAAATGGAGCCAACATTTAAATGCTTCAAGTCTGAGATTTTTTGTTTGTTAGGTGTTTTTGTGTTTGGTTAGGTTTGGGTTTTGTTTTGTTTTTTTTTTTTTTTCCAATGGGGAACAGCCCTTACAGGAATACTGACAAAATGTCAGCTTTGAGAAACTTTCAAGTGAAAGAAACTCCCTTTGCCCACTCACTACACTCCTGGTGACCCTGTGTGCTAGGAAGTTCACACTGCCAAGCCTTTTGGCCAGGACAAGGATCTGCTGCTTCCCAAGGACCCCAAATGAGTACAAGCGTAATCCCTGTGGACCCCTTTGGGCAGGGATTGTAGATCAGGGTCAAAAACCCCTGCCTGCTACTGATCCCTGCCAGAACCTGAGCCCTCTCACAGCCCTTTCCTTGGTGCTGTTGGCTGGGAAGAAGAGAGTCATCTTTAACAGCAAGAGGAGATCGTTCATGTAACTTGTGATTTTTATGTCTTAATTTATACTGATGTGCCCTTACCAGCTGCCTACTCTTTCTTACAGTTGGTCCTTCTGCTACCTCGCAGCATTTCATCTGTTACTTTTCACACTTTCTTTATCCTTTGCATACCACCTCCATCTTCCTGGTCTGCCGTACCATCTACTTCTCTTGCTCTCGCTTTCTGTATTAATTGCTGTTTGCTGCCAGGTCATCCCTTATCAGCAGAATAGGAGGAACTCCCCAGATGCTTCTGTCCTCCACATGTAGATGAATTATTTTTTTACTTAAGCCATGTTCTGTGCTGATTCATACTCCATACAGATTCATAAATTTGCAAAATTTGGGTGGTAAATTATACACTGAGTCAAGGAGTTTCTTTAAGCAATTTTTAAAGCATCAGGTACTCTATACCTCATATAGCAGAAATAATTTTGCTACCTAACACTGTGTTTTTCTTTTGTTAAGATAACACAAACTTAGACATTGCAGAGAATCCCCTCGACTTCCATCGTATGTCTCAGAACTCCAAATTAAACGCATGCACAAACGCTTTGCAGAAGCTGGTCTGGGTGTGTTAATGGTTTGTATATGAGGTTTATCTTTGGCCTGGGAAAAACTTATTTGTTAACTTTACAAATTGCCAATAGCCCCCTAGCAGAAAAGGGGTTTGACTGTTTGTTTTTCCCAAAAGCCAGGAATACAGTTAAAGAAAAAGATCTACTATAGCAACTCCTATAGAAAAGCATTAGTACTGATGATGAGAACAAATGATGTACAGCTCGGTACTTGAAAGAGGGAAAAATCCTTTGGGGAAACATCACAAGGGCTCTGTCCTGTTCTGGGCTGGGAACTCAGCCTTGATGCTGGTGTCTGAGACAAGAGCAGATCTGATCTACTAAGAACACTCCCTCCTCATATTTTCTCATTAATAACTAGATACTAACCACAGTTTTTTTAAGGAAATCTGAGATTCTTGTCCCATTTGCAGTGGCTGGTACCAAGAGCTGTACGTGGGACATTGACCTCCTAGGGTTGTGTGTAAGTACTCGATTTATGCGTTATTTCAGAAGTCCCTGTAGTAACCAGTCACAATGCCTACATAAAGCATTTCCTTCTCTGTTAGGCCCAGCGGCAGACTGCAGTGTTGCCCAGCCTGCAGATACAAGAGGACTAACATTTTGCCCATGTCTTCTTGTGCCTGCATTCCCTTGCCTGAAGGCACTGACCCAGTCAAAACAGCACATGCTCTACCAGCCCATGTATTTGCATGTGTGTGTGCATGTGCACTCAGATACAGAGGTGTGAATATATACATATAGTTTTGATTAATTTTTATGTTGCTCTGGCCAGCGTCTTTAATCTCTTAGTACCATAAAATGAGGCACTGAGCATCTAATATTTATCCTCTGAGGATAAACATTTGTTATCAGCCTGATATGAGAACTTCAGGTTGTGGCTGAGGTATTTATAGCAGATGATTATTATAACAAGACCATTTGAAAGCTGACGTCAACATCTTTCATTCCTACCTTGTCCCTGATTCTCAGACTAATAGAGAAATAGGTTATATTTCTGCTCCTAAGGAGCACACCTAAATAAGACTCACCAAAACAAGGAATTTACTAAGCCACCTTATCTCGATCAGTTTTGGACCCAAATCAACGACGAGAATAACTGTAACAAAATCCATGGACCTAGGTTGACTTGTGCTGATTGATGATGCGGTACCTTATTTGTCACAGTAACTATGGAAAAAGGCACTCAAGAAAAACATTACAGAGACGACTAAAGAATATTGTAGGTTCGTTGCATAGAGCGAGAGTATTAAATACTGGACTGAGGTGATTTAAATTTACTGTCAGCGAAGCCATATGTCTTAATAGAGATGTTAACAACAATAAAAAATAATTAACCTTAAAATCTTAAGACATTAATTTCTAAACTTTAAAAATTATTAGTTTTCTGCAAACAATCACACAAAATAAAAAAATAATAATAATAAAAAGTTAAGTGTTCTGTGGAAAGGCTGATGTTAAAAGAAATAGTTTCTTTTAAAGGGAGACCTCTTCAAATTAATGAAATAGTGTTAAAGTTATGGTATGGAAGCAAGTCTTAAATATATATGCTTTGGTAATAATATCACAAAGAAAGCTGCCTGCACATTCAAAGTGTCAGGTTTTATACTTTCAATCACCTACAAAAGAGTGGTTATTAAAAACGATCTTATTTCATCAAAAGATATTACAAGCATATTTTAAAGATACCAACAAACAAATAGTATTTTAAAATCTTGTTATATTTTTTTCTTCCGCACAGGAAGAAAATGCATTTTGGTCAGCATAAACTTATGATAAAAAAACCCGAAATATTGTGGTGGTGAATAATCTTAAAAGTATTGAAACCCAAAGGATATAATTGGAAACACACAGTATCATTTTATGTTATTAGATTGACATAGCACCATAACAATCCTGTGTGCTTCAAAATCTTGATATAAAGTAAAAGATACAGACTTGTGTAGCAATCAACAACAATTTTTGAAAATGTGATTTGTGTGTTTAAAGGTGTGCAAGAGTCAAGCTCACTTTGTGTTTTCATTAAATATATGGTTCAGCAAACATATTGAACCAAATTATTTGCTAACTACTGCTGCTGCTACCTAACAAGATATCTGTTATAATGTACAGGATAGTTCTTCTACCGTTCAGAAGGTGGTATAATTTGGTTGAGACAAATTTTTAGTTGAATCTTGTAACTCATGTTGAGGTGGAGTCTGAATATGACATGATTAAAACTACCCATTTTGCAAAACCATATAAAGCCAAACTAAAATAATTGCTTTCCAACTCCCAGTCTAATACATACTATCCTATCTATGAAGCTGAACTCATATAAAAGTAATTTATAAAAACTGCAAAAATGGTTAGCACCCAAAAAATCTATCATCTGTGAAGCTCTAAATGATTGTCAAATAGCCACTTCAGAAGTCAGTGACTTCTCCTAATGGTAAAGCTAAACGTCTGACTAGAAACTACACCTACAGCTCTCCAAATACTGACGGGAATGCAAATGCATGTGTTCAAGACTTCTATAGCTTCTCAAAGAAGATTTAAAGGCATTAAATTATGTCCTGATGTTTCTTCTTCTTCCAAACATGGACACTTCTATGTTCATTAATTTCTTTTTGCTGTTCCTACTGAGCAATGAAGTGAAACTTGTCTTTAAGGTCTAACCCTCAGCTACAGAAATTTGGGATTT